CGTCGGCTAATTTACGGAATGATCATGGGTTTATAATCAAGGAATACTATCTCCATTGGTATGAGGCCTTTTGGGGAAGCCCAAAGCAAAACCATGAGAGCTTATGCTCAAAGTGGACAATATCATACCATTGTGGAGAGTCGTGTTCATTTAACGGTTAGCATAAGCTCTCATGGTTTTGCTTTGGGCAAATCTCTTTCTCTATCCATATTAGATAGTTTTTACTAGTTATACATTTTTCACGTTATTTCATGTTTAGCTCTTCTGCCGTGGTATTTTACTCGACTGTAATTGACAGAATGTGGCTACTGTCTCATGTCCTGGTTCCAGGAAAAAGATAAACCATCAAAGAATCTTGAGAGCGTGGGTGCATTTCAGAAGCTGCCCATGGTGATGCCATCTATTGATATTTTCCAGTCTGCACTAAAGAAGGCCAAGAGGGTTAGCCCTACAAAGGGTACTTTTAGTAGCATGCGGTTCTGTTTCTGTGTTTGCTTGGCTGGTCTTGTGATCTGATTTGAGTGAAAGCGGACTCAAATCACTTCTGCTTATGCTGATTTTCTTGTATCCATCTTCAGGAATAGCCAATATTGCAAAGAGGGAGAGAAATAGGGGTGCTAAGCAGCTCGATACACTGATGAAAGTTTGTTCTTATCCCAAATATCAGTCCACTTTTATATACGATATAAAAGAATTACTCTGGTGCATTGTAATCGTACATGAAATATTGTAAAGCTCATCGTGACATCTTGTTTCCTTTGTTAGGAGTTGGCAGTTCCCTTAAGAACATACCTAGAAGAGTTTCCAAAGAAAGAATATCTTCACCCTTATGAATGTTCTCTCATTGAGTTGACACTTGGAGATGGAAAGTATGAAGAGGTATATTATGAAGCATTACTTTCTATCCACTTTTTGCGGCATAAATGTGTTATTATGGTTCATATCCTTCAATAATGACTTCTTTTTCGAACTTATAATCTTCTAATGATTAAAATCATAGGACTTTACTCATTATAAGGCCTCTTTAGAATTTGCATATGAAATTCTTGTCGCAATAGATTTAAATTTTGGAAGGCTGGAAATCTATTTTGGAAATTACATTTTAATATGTTTTTCTTGATTGCTTATGTGGAAATATTTGTTATTTTGTGCCATGTTAATGAGTTCTTGCACTTTTACTTTGTTGATAATACTTTATTTTCTTCAACGTTAATCCTAATCTTTTGAAATTTACATGCGATTCTATGGCATAATACTTCCATGGCAAACATTCTTGTGAAGGATCATCAGTCAACAATGTTTCTTCATTTAACAGGTCTTGAGAAAGGTTGATAATCTAAGGAAGAAAGTGGTATCTGTAGGGAAGGAGCATGCTTCTCTCTGTGCGAAGGTTAGGATTTTTTTTTAATTTTGTAGTCTTATGAATTGATAGTTATTGGTTCCTTCTCTGTTTTCCTCTGTTAAATTGTATAGATTAGATATAAATTTCATCACTTCTTAACAAATGTGTAAAAAAAGCACTCATACTCTTGGGAACTTTAAGGTCTGCTTTCATTTTGGCTATGTGACTTAAAAGAATGTGGTAAAACTTTTTTTTCTTCTTCTTTTGTTTAGAGAGTAAAGTTTCGAGTTGGCGAAACAAAATGTAGCTTAAAAATCTGTCTTTTGACTTACCTCGATTAGTTTTCTAGTGACTACCCACCACACACACTCACAACAACGAAAAGAAAAATTTATTTCATTAACGTAATTTTAATCGGGACTGTACTTCAATGTTCTTTTTACAGTCCACATCAAAGCGGGATGCAGAGGAAAGCCTTAGTGTGGTTAGTTCTCTCCTTAATGAGGTGGCATTCTGTTCAAATATGTGAAATCATTACCCATGATGTTATTTCAAATGCAGGGTATGAAGAAAGTAGAAGAAGTCTATATTCATCAAGCAAAAGCTGTTGATGATCTGTTACAGATTGCAAAGGTATTATTTATTTTTATTTTTTAAATTCTGCTATGATTAATTGAATATCGTATTTATGGGGAAAATCCGTACCATTCCCCCTTGTAATTATCATTGCATTGAAACTCTGATTTAAATGCCTGAAGGTGTAGTTTCTTAGCATCTTTCCTTCTAATCAATATCACTTTGACATTACCCTTTTTCATGTAATGACATATTTGATCCTTTAATATGCTTTTTGGAGCCAACGAGCACTTTTTCTTGCTTAAGGCCATCTAAATCTGTCAGCTACTTAACACATGGAACCTACATTTATTTACAATGATGTTTGATATGTACAAATTGTCAGACTTTACGGGCAATGCCAGTTGTAGACTTGGATAAACCAACCCTTTGTCTTGTTGGAGCCCCAAATGTTGGGAAGTCGTCTTTGGTTCGAATCCTCTCTACCGGGAAGCCTGAGGTGTGTACATATTTACTATTATGGTTAAGATCACTTTTGTCATGTTTAAAAACATTCTAAAACGTGCCTTTAATCATTCAAAATCAATTTAACGTTTGACGTTACAGTTTTAAACACAATTTTCTTACCACCAAAATTGATCTTGAATGATTAAAAACATGTTTTTCAGTCATTTATGAACGTGAAAAATTGATCTTAACTCTTTCAAAATCATTTCCAAACCTGACTTGATCTACAGAGACTGTGCTGGAGAGAATGACAGTCCTGAATCTTGATGGATTTTTGTTGCTAATATTGTTTTCCATTAGATCTGTAATTACCCGTTCACTACACGAGGAATACTGATGGGTCATATAGTCCTAAACTACCAGCATTTTCAGGTGATAGTTTACCCTTGAATACGTGGATTTAATTCTCTCTCTTTCCCCTCTCAATTCAATTTATTCTCTTCTCCAATCTGATTGCAGGTAACAGATACTCCTGGCCTTCTGAAAAGATCTGATGGTAATTGCACTTAATGCTTACAATTTCAGTTTTTTCTAATCCAAGCTATGAATTGAAGTGCCAATCCCGAGTCATCTCTTCTATGTCGTTAAGGGACCCGTTAAACGAGTCAAATGTCTATAACGTCCGAAATAGGGTACTTCAAATTTATGAAAATGATATCAATATCATGTCGGTGTTGGATTATTTTAGGAAAAATCATGAAAAACTGTATGAATTGATAAATTAAATTTAACACCTGAAATTATCCATATAAATGGTTAGTGTTCATATTTATACTATCAACACTCATTATGTCTGTATTTCTAGTATTTCTTGATACTTTTGACATAGTGCTGATCTTTCCTCGACATCTCAAGAAAAGAAATTTACCGGACAGTATTATAAATGTCTATTTGGTACATAACTTTCCTCTGGAACTGCAGATGACAGAAACAATTTGGAGAAGTTGACACTTGCGGTTCTGTCGCACCTTCCAACGGCAGTGCTATTTGTACATGATCTCTCTGGAGAATGTGGCACTTCACCTTCCGATCAGGTATCACCGGCCTATCACCATTTTCAAATTCAATATAATACATCTAATAGAACAATATCAGTGCAATTTTATGGGGTTTTTTGGTTCAACGAGTCTGAGAATTCAAATATTTGATCTCTTTGTCGAAGATATATATCTTAATTAATTGAGTCAGGTTCGAGTTGATAGTGAAATTTGATGGTTAAACTAATGTGTAAATGCTAATGTTATTCACGAATTTGACATGAATTACATCTCCGAGAAGAAATCCAACCAAACGGACGACAGTTACCGATCAGAACTGGTCAAATATGTCGGTCTTTTCCACCCTAATCTGCATTCTATATTGTACAGTTGGCCATCTACAAAGAAATGAAGGAAAGATATGGCAACCATCTGTGGCTCAATGTCGTCTCCAAATGTGATCTTCTGAAAGAGTCTCCTGTAATCTTCAGCACTGAAAGCTATGATCATGACGATATTGAACTAGAACGGTACAGGCGATTGGGACCTGATGGAGCCTTGCTGGTATCGGTTAAGAATGACGTAGGACTCATCGAGGTAATTGTTGCAAGCCTTTTCCTCTTGTTTACTTGCAGTTCTTATCTAACCCGAGTTCTTATTATAGTTATTATCGTGTTCTAAAATACTGCAGTGTACACGAATCGATCAAAATGAGTATTCTTACAACTATGATTCAATACAAATTTTCCTTATTACATGCCATCTTTGCAGTTGAAAGAAAGAGTACATGAAATGCTGGTTTCTCAAATGACTCGAATCAAAACAAAAGGCGACCACGGAAACACAACTTTGAAGACCTCATAGCATCTGAAAATCAGCACGTTGATAGCGAAACCAGACTCTCAAATTTGGAAAACTCGAAACACTGATAATCATGTCACAATGTTCAAGTCAGGAACCCACAACTATCATTACCTGCCTTGTCCCCTCGTGGTATTATTCTCTATCGAGGAAACGACATGGACAGCATTCGCGTAATTTAAAGTCGTCGTAGACTTGTAAACCATACGCTGTGAGATTTTCATTTAGAGTTGTCAATTATGATTTATCATTGCTTATTCTTGAACATTAGAGGGCTCTTTACTGAGTTCATCTGAAAGAAAAGAAAATTTTGATTTTAGCAAGCTCGAGACCGAAGAATCGTCACACTAGAGATTCGATAATGATTTTCACGAAAAAAAATAACAAAATATGGTGAAATAATGTATAAATTTGGTAAATTTTATTTAATTTAAAATAAGTTAAAAATCGTAATTTAGGGTTTGAGATAACATTTAAAATAATTAATTTCCTCATCTTCAAACAGTCGAATTATATTTAATTAGGATCCAAACGCCCCATAGAATTTACTCAAAGAAGAACCAACGGAGAAAATTAAAGAAGACCACCGTAGCCGTTGTAATTACGTGACCTCTAAAATTACACACGAAAATTTAAAAATAAAAAATAAGAGTGAAATTACATAAGTACCCCTATACCGGCCGTAAACACCATTTAACGTGCTCATTCTTACGGTCAATCCCCTACCTATTTAAGCATTCACTATCTCTTCGTTTAATGCCGCGTTTTCCCTCCTCTTCTTCAGATCTCTTTCTCTCTCCTTGGCGCGCTCCGTTTTCAACTGTAAGATTCTTTGATCTCCTCTCTTTTATCTCGGAACTTACTCGATTGCACTACTTCTTGTTTGATCTCTGCATTGCCGTCGTGTTTTCGCTTGAATGTTGTTGATCTCCTTCGTTTTGTCGATTCCGCTTGGATCCAGACGTATTTTTCCTTTGGCCTTTTGAAATCGTGTGGAGAATAGAGAAATTTGAGTTCCTGAGTGTTTTTTATTCTGAAACTAGTTCGTTTGGAGTTTACTCGCTTAGATCTGGCTTTGAAAAATTTTACCGCCATTTTTTCTGGTAGGCAAAGAATAGAGAATTGTAAATGAACTGCGAATCTTTATTTCTTGGCTTGCATTTTCTTTGGCTTATTTGTTCTCTAAAGGATGCCGATGTTTTTTTTTTTCCTTTTTGCCTGTATCTTCATTGACAGTGCTATTAGCGTTATGAATGTTTTGAAGTTGTACATGCCGTTATTTCTGTATCCTAAATGGATGACCACGTTCAAGCAATTTGGATCTGCAGATATTCGATCAAAGCTGATGTTCATATTAATGTTTGGAAGATTTCGGTTTCCCTGTGTTCGAGGATTTAGAGAATAAGTAGATTAACATTTTATACATTCAGCCTAGTGTTCTTCGACTTATCGTTAACTTTCATAGCATGAAAATCACATTACGTTCTTTATGTTACCTATTCTCTACTCCTTGCTTGAGTGCTCAAACCTGGTTTTGACATATTTTTATCTGGCTTTTGTGTAGATAGTCAGTTCACTTTTAAATCAGTGTCATGGGGACTGTCGCTGATGTTGCTCCGATTAAGGTAAGGTTTGACCACGTTTTTACTTCATATATTGAGGAAAGTGATGTCAATTGAAAGATCAGAGAATCTCCATCGTAGGATTTTCCTGGACACTAGTTTTGTTGGGGATGTTTGTCTTTGCTTCCTTCTTGAATGAACTATTTGATCCTGAAGTCTTGGTACATGGTTAAAATGCAATTACAGGACACTAAAGGAAGCTTAGTTAATAAGAAGCCCACAGTTGTCTTTGTTTTAGGTGAGTAAACTTTTCAAAGATTAAATAAATTCATAGGCTCTCTTCTTTTCTAGATTCCTTATGAGATGAACCGACATTTCTTTTTATGCTAAATTTCGTCTGGTACTAAGCTGTAGTTGGATTTTATAATTACCAGGTGGGCCAGGTAGTGGCAAGGGTACTCAATGTTCAAATATCATTGAACACTTCGGGTACACTCATCTTAGTGCTGGGGATCTTCTCCGAGCAGAGATCAAATCTGGTTCAGAGAATGGGTATGAATACTCCCCTTTCATATAATATCTTCTAAATCTCACTACTTCTTTCCTTCCTAACTTTATACATTGTCGCAACTTGACCATTTACAAAATATGTAGTACCTGCTGATCCTACCATTTTCTTTTCTTAGCACGATGATTCAAAACATGATTAAAGAAGGGAAAATTGTTCCTTCCGAGGTCACCATAAAGCTTCTTCAACGAGCAATGGAGAAAAGTGGTAATGACAAATTTCTTATTGATGGATTCCCTCGTAACGAAGAAAATCGTGCTGCATTTGAAGCTGTTGTAAGCCATTTCTCTCTTTTCTCTGGCCATTGTTTTCTTAAAAATCAATATATTTCTGTATAATTGATTTTTGAGGTTGTACAATCCAAGGCAGTGCTTGATTCAACTGTATGATTGATGTTTTGCAGACAGGCATTGAACCATCTGTTGTCCTGTTCTTTGATTGTCTTGAGGAGGAGATGGAGAGGCGCCTGTTGAGTAGGAATGAGGTTTGAAGGGATAAATTTCTCTTTATTTAAATCTGTTCTTCGAAAATTTAATTTCACGCTATGAATTGTCTTTATGGATATAATAATTCAGGGTAGAGTGGACGACAACATTGAAACAATTAGGAAGCGATTCAAGGTTTTCTTGGAGTCTAGTATTCCTGTGATTCGTTACTATGAATCCAAAGGGAAAGTTCGGAAGGTGTTGATTCTCTCTCTCCAGACTTCAATACTTTCTGGCATCTTTTATTTTTAATTATCTTTTTTATTTTATATCTTGAATCATGTTCTACTCTTCTTAGATTGACGCTACTAGGCCTGTTAAGGAGGTTTTTGAATCTGTTAAAGCCATTTTTGCTCCAAAAAGTAAACAGGTAAGTTTTCTTGATATGCTTTAATTTTTGTTTTCTTTAACACGTCTTGCAGTTTCTTAATAGAAAATTTGGAACCCAGCCTTAGTTATGCGGATGAGAAAGCCCATCAAGTTTGGATTGTAGGAAAATGTAGGAATTTGGCCTTTTCAAAATCTGAACCATGAGGGAGAACTAAACTCACTCTTAGGGTCTGAAGGTCCAATATCTTGACGTGCCTGGTATTTAGATGTCTGGAAACTATGGTCTGTGGTTGTTTCAACTTTTGTGGCCCTAACTCTATACATATTAGATTATTGCCTTTTGACCTTGTGGCTAGTGAACAGAAACCATACATGCAATTCATTAGAGATCAGTGGAAGTTAATTGTCGTAATGTGGCTTTTAGTTTCATGACCTTTAAATACAAAGACATGGTTGGAAAGTTTGTTTTGATTTCTACACTATACATCTAGCTATTGTGAACGTGACAGCCAAATTGATCCACACATGTAGTTTGCGCTTTTGCTACATTGTTATTATGCATAATACATTCTGGCTTACCATTCCTCATTACTGGTACTGATGTTGCTGTGGTTTGCCTTGTTGCAGGTTCACTGAAGATGAACTGCCCGGTAGTTCTGCGTTGATATCTCCTTTGAGGTAACACTGTAATCACAAACCTCGCAGATGAGTTCATCTTTTCTGAAAAATTTTATTATATGTGTTTATCGACGAGTTTTGTCTTAATAACCCAAAGTGGAAATGGTTTGTCACAAACTATCAACTTTTTCATCATTTCAAGTTTTCCCAATGTTAACATTTGGCTAGCTCATTCAACTCCGTGTTTCTAATTTCTTTCCTTATGCTATTGGTAGGTATTGATTTTGCTGGCTGCATCAGAGTTGGATGTTTAGGTTCTATTCTATACAAGGAGTTAACCATATTCTTATTATTGTTATCGTACTTTATTACTAAGTTTTGTCGTGTGCATCTTACAAAAGAGGTCTCTGTCTCTAAATTTTTCATATTGAGATTGTATCCGTTGATTTAAATAATAAAGGCAAGCCTTGCTTCCATTTATCTTTTATCAACAGTGTCTCATTCCTTGCATCGCCCCACCCCATCCCCTTCGCTAATGTTAAAGCTAGATATAACTTCAGCCACTTTTTGGCAGCTTCTTTACACATTTTCAAAGAAAAGGATTTGCCTGTAGACGAGGAAGGGGAGAATTGATCATTGCAGCTAAGGTTGTAAGAGCTCTAACTCGTTGCTAAATCTTAGTTCTGCATCTAATACGTTTTTTTAATGTTAAAACTTGATGATTTATTGAACACAAAATTCAACTTTTTGTATAATAGATTCTTTGGGTATAAAAAAATGTGAATATGTGAACCTTTGAGAACCTATTAGACATGTTTTAGAAAGGTTCAATGACATGAGTTGTAATTTAACCAAATATGCACCCTAAATTCTCATTAGAAAACATTGTTAAAAAAAGCATGGTTTGTAGATAGTACAAGGAAAACCAATTTGTGTAGAGAGGATAGATAACTACTCTTTAGAAATTGAAATCTTAATACCCTACCTTCATTGCATAAGCCTAGAATAGGATACCATTATCCTTGTTGGTATCAATGACAATTCCAATTTTCTCTTGAATTTTTTCCTTGTTTGGAGGCTCATAATCTTCTCCTTCTTTACTAACTCCTACCAAATGTGAGATTTTAGTTCCACTTCTACTAATCTTCCTTGGACAAGGTAAGACTAAGTTTTGCCTTAAATATCATATTTATTGGTTTAAACTATTTATCTTGACTACCTCCTTTTCTTTAGAGTACTTTGTCTATACCATTCTCAACAACCAATCTCTACATGATCATATCATTAAACTTAACTATTTCATTGTTTAGCACCCAAAAAACCTCAAACATTTTTTTTAATGATATAATATTGTCAACTTTTTAGTATATTGCCTTCATGATTTTGCTTTAGTTTTACTTTCCTCCGCTAATTATATTCACTTATATACCTACCTTTTTTCTCTCTCTCTCTCTTTTTTTTTGGTCCAACAGGATTCTAGTTGCATTCATTCTCTAGAAAAAGATTATGTGCCATTGCCCATCTCCGTCCCCGATCTAACTTCAAAATGGGACTTTGACCTACAGGAGGTTTTCAAACACTGATATGTGATCAAATGACCGATCATACTAACAAACCCATGAAACTCAAGTGATTAATGATAAAGCACTTCTAGTTTCCATTATTTCACTTCTCTCCGTCCAGCTTTGGGTTTCAGAATTCTACTCTATCGGAATCTTATACAGAGAGAGATCCTTTTCGTTCATCCAAAACCCCTTTTACATTCATAAGAAGTAAAGCTAGAAAGAGAGAGTTCGTGGGTTATTATAAGACTGAAAAGCTTGTTCAATTGTAGGTTAGAGCGCCGAACAACGTGAGTTAGTCATTTGCTCAACCCAATATTCCTCAACTGTTCTCAAAACCAGTTTCCTTTCAACTAGATATTTCGTCGAACAACATGGCTGCATTATCCAAAAATGGCATCCCTCATAACAGTCAGGTGAATTCGAATACCATTGTATTTAACTTCATAGCCTCACCAAAACAACCACACGGATTTCCTCAACGAGCACCGCGATCGAACCGAAAAGATTTTCCATCATTTCTCGAAATCGAGATTGTAACAACCGAAAGAACTTTTTGTTTTTGTTTTGTTTTGTTTTTTGTTCTCCCAGGAAGACAGGAAGAGAGAAGACGTACTCTATTGTGAGTTGAAAGAGAAGGCGCTTTAATGGCGTCGAACGCAATGGAGAGCTTAGAAAAAGAAGACGACCATGAAAGAGAAGTGGGTTTCTGAACGAAACTAGAAAACCAGAAGCTGATGACGACGACGACTCGAGAACTGATGAGCTTAACATTTTCACACTTAAGGATCCCTGGTACGATTCTTGCTCCTCTGCCCTCTACTAGACTTTATTTTTGCTTCTGTGGCGGTGTCTTGACAGCGTGGTGTTTTTTTTTTTTTTTTTTTTTTTTTTTTTTTTTTTTTTTTTTTTTTTTTTTTTTTTTTTTTTT